TGGGTGGGTGGATGGACAGAAGGGGAGAATGCATGGGATGGATGAATGCATACATGGATACATGGATACATGAGTGAATTAAGAGGAAACTACAGTCATGACTACTGAGGTTTCAGAATATGCATGCTAATTTGGTGGTCTTGCGCTTCTCAAATAAAGTCATGATTTAAGGCAGTTCTCCTCCAAAACGTAGGTGGTCTTAACAAACAACTTTGTCCAACCAGTCCATTTCTGTAAATACTCCGGCATAGATACAGTTAACGTGGCTCCAGGAAACCGTGTTTTTCCAAATGAGACTGCGTGGAACGCAGTGCTGTGACCTGAAAGTCCTGCCTACCAGGCTGAATATTAGTGCGGAGCTGGCTGCTGGGCCACGTGGCTTCTGAGATTCTGATCCTGGCTCTGAATGAATTCACATGCCTAGTGAATTCACTAGTTTGGGTCAGGACAGATTCTGGGCAGTTGGGAGACTTGAGGGTACAGGGAGCCGAGCAGACCTTGAGTTTCCCTGGGAATCAAGTGCACCAGCCTTGCAGGCCTCGCGGGCAGAGAGGGCTGGGCTCAGATGGTATGAATGAAGTTCTTTGTGTGTGATTCAGCTTAGGATTGCCAATGTGCTTCTTCTTTAAAGCTGTCTCCACTTGATTGGTGGTGGATGCTATTTTTAGAAGGATGCTGAGATCTCAAGTGGGCTCAGCAAAAGGAATACAGAGATGAATCAGTAAGGTCTACCACCAGAGCAAGAAGAGAAAACTGTGCCCTGAGACCACAGCTGCCCCTCCCTCCCAGCCCCGCTTTCATTACTGACCTGCTAAGGCTTTAGATGATTTGGTATTAAATTCCACTCAGGGCTACTGGGCCTCGGTGTGTTCATCTCTGAAATGGGCATGTATTAGTCGGGGCCCAGGCTCAACTGCTATAAACCAAAAGCCTCAAAGTACTGAAGCAATTGTAAGTTTATGGCCCACTCACATAGAAGAACCCAGAGGTAAGTGAGTGGTTCTGATGAGCCAATGCTGCTGTGCTCACCGTGCAGCTCCTGCTGGGATTCCCAGGAGGCTGTTCTGGTTCTCGCTAGAGAAAAAGGAAGAGAACTGGACCCAGGGAGCATGTGTGTGGTGGTTTTAAAGGCCTGCCCTGGAAGCGGCTTCGTCATTTCCAGAACAGCAGGCAGAACAGTTACTTGACCACACCTAACTGGGGAAAGTAGCCTTTAGCTGGGGGGATCTCTTGAACAGAGCAAGAGAAAATGAACTCTGGGATGAGATACCCCAGGGGAGGGTACCAGCTGCTGTTAGACTGGGTACAGCATGTGCCTCATCTCTGCCCGCTAACAGGCTGCCTCTTCCCTGCCCAGGAGCTGGTGAAGATCCTGCACAAGGCGCTGGAGGATGCCCAGCAGGAGAAGAGGGCATCCAGCGCCTACCTGGCTGCGGCCGAGGACAAAGACCGGCTGGAGCTGGTGCGGCACAAAGTGCGGCAGATCGCGGAGCTGGGCCGGCGGGTGGAGGCCCTGGAGCAGGAGCGGGAGAGCCTGGTGCAGACAGTCAGCCTGCGGGAGCAGGAGGTGCAGGAGCTGCAGCAGCACGTGCAGCTGCTGATGGACAAGAACGAGGCCAAGCAGCAGGTCATCTGCAAGCTGTCTGAGAAGGTCACTCGGGACTTCATGCATCCCCCAAACCAGCCCCCAGCAGCCCCGGATGCTGCTGACCGGGACTTCCTGAGCCAACAGGAGAAGCTAGAACACCTGAAGGTAGGGCTTCTCCCTCCATGTCCTGGGCCCTGTGGGGGTCCCTGCTGTCCTCCTAGGCGAATTTAGAGGGAACCGGAATACCATTAATGCGGGAATATTCATATTGGAAATAGATGCTGACGGAATTATGGCTCCACAGGTTTGTGCTGTCTTAACCAGGCCACTTTGGCCTTTCAGTGCTCTTGTATGCGAAAAGTGGAGAGTTCTCTAGATCATCACATTAGAGATGAACAAGCCGAAGACAGTCAGCATTCGGAATGCTAGACCAGCTTAGCTGGGGCCGGCCTGGTCAGCCTCCACCAGTGCCATGCCGATGTCCTCAGGAGCCCCAGGATACCAGAGCAGCTCTCCCTGGTGGTCCCACACGCTGGACAAGTGGCCCAGGACTGTCTGACACAGGACACAGTGGTGGCTCCAACTGTTCCCAGGTGGCGCTTACTTCCTCCTCACACCAGCCCTGTGGAGAGGGCGTCGTGTGTTCCCACTTTATGAGGATGTTGAGGCTGAGAACGATGCAGTAACTTGCCCAGGGCTGTGCTTTGAGGAAGCAGGGGAACTGGAAGCTCAGTCTCTGACTAGCCTGTCTTCTCTGCTGTCTTCCGCTTCTTCACCACACCCCAACCCGACCTTGCAGCAGCTCTCTCTGGGAGCTGCTCATTGGGAACTGCTGGGCAAAGACGGCAGGAAATTTGCTTTAGGAGTGATGCCTGCCGTGGGCTGGTGATAGCAGCTCTCAGACCAATACAGACCCACAGTCGGGCCAGGTGCTCACAGCCCCCACTGGCCCTAATGGCAGCCATGGAACCAGGGCCAGCCCTGCCCCCAACCTGCCACTCCTTGCCACACACACATTCGTATGTGTAACAGTGGAACTCTCTGCTGCTGTGTCCAAAGGCTGCTGTTGGGGGAAGTGAAAGGGAGGAAGAATAAGGAGAAATCCGGAAGCCTTGAGAGACATACATGCAGCATGGCACGTGGCTCATGCCCACTGCCAGGCTGCCCTGGGTTTAGATCTTGGCTCCACCTCAGGCAGGTGGTCACCCATCTCTCGATGCAGGAACATCTTGCAGTTCCTACTCACAGAGCTGTTAGAAGGCTAGAGGAAGAGAACCCTCAGAGCCCCTCCCCTTTCTTTAGAGTGAAAAACCATGGAGCCATCCTCTGAACCTGCTCGCTTATTTAGTCAAAATGAAAACAAAAGCCTTTCAAATACAGGTGCCTGAGGTTGCTAGAAAGCTCTCCGCCTCCACCCAGCAGCGAGAATTGCTTCCATCCATTGCTGCCACTGTGTCAAGCGCCTTCCTTTTCTCTCTGGCCCCACCTGCTGGGTCCTTGCAAACCCTGAGATAACCTGGTGGTCAGAACCGTAGACTCAGGTGACCCGAACAGTTACCTAGAAGCGTAGGCTCACCTAGGACCCCAGTGTGCCCACTGAGAATTTACATTCTCGGGATTTAACTTGTCAGTGAGCGGGGATGAGACTCTGTGATCCAAGAAATGTACATGGGCAGCCAATGCTGAACCCAGTGTTCTGTGCTGAAGGGACCCAGATGCCAGAAAAAAAAAACCTTTGATGTCTGATCTGGGGGTGGGGGGTTGCTGGGGGTTTGGGAGGTGGAGAATGGATGAGCCAACAGAAATCCATGTCTTCAGGTTTTGTCACAGAGCATGTTCACACTTCCTGCTTGCCCTATAATTGGGACACCCAACCGTAAGGAAATGTCCCTTGCTGTCGAAACTGTCAGTTGGAGAATAGAATCAACCTCTTGAGTGGCAGCGCTGGAGACGGGGCTAGTCAGCCCCCCCTCCCATTTTGGGCGCTGGGGCTGCTGAGCCCTAAAGGGGGAGCGGGCTGGTGGCCAAGTGCCACAGACCTCACATGGCAGGGTTGCTCTAGGCCTCCTCACAACCAACCAGTGGCCTTTCCCAGGACCGCAAAGGTCAATGGTAGCTCCCCAAGACAACTCCCGGGTCCTGATCCCCCAGAAGGCAGGCCGGCGGCGGCTCTCTTTCCCACCCCCTTTCTCCACTGGCGTTCTCCTCCTTCACTTGCCTGTGACTGTCTGTGACTTTTCTCTTCTCTGAGTCTCTCTTTTTCCTCCCTACAGTTCTGAGCCAAGAACAACACTCAAGGTAGGGCAACTAGCTGAAGGTGCTGCCCAGACACCCACGGCCACTGCTGCTCCAGGGGTGCTCACACCTGCCCTCTCTGTCTGGGGCGGGTGCAGGTGGAGTACCCCATGCAACATGCCCAAAGCCTTGACACCAGTGAGCGCCTTCTGGAATGAGGAAGGAGGGGCAACCACAGGAGGCAGAACCCGTGATGGTGTAGAGCGACCTGGCTGTGCTTTCACTCGCCATGGGTTTCGATTCCTGCTGTGAGTGACCACAGCTGGGCTGGGCTAGGATGTGGCCGTCTTTCCTGCCAGCTGTGTGACTGAGGAGCGCTCACTTTCTCCATCTTGTTTCCTTATCTGTAATGGGAATGGCAGCGCAGCGTATCTTCCAACAGCTTTGTGGTAATGGTTCATCTGTATGGGAGGGCACAGCGGCCCAGCGCATAGCAGGGACTTTGTTACCAGAGACCTACTCCTGCCATGGCTGAAGGCTTGTTGCTTTTCCCCAGGCGTTTGGGAAGAGTCCACAAGAGCAGCAATGGGAGGTCTTCTCTCAGCAGGCAGAGGGGGAGCTTGGGAGCCCGAAGAGCACCCCTCAGATGTTGTAAGACTTGCATTGCACATGCCACCTGCCAGCCACCATTCCGCACATGTTAACTAATGAAAAGATTTTTTTAATCCCCATTTTTTAAAAAGATTTATGTATACAGAGCTAGGGTACAGGCCAGAGGTGCAGGGGCAGTGAGAGGATTCACCAGAGACAGAGCGGGGAGCAGAACAGGCAGATCGATGAAGTCCACTGCTGAGGGGAGCAGCGGGCGGGTCAGGAGAGGTCTGCCGCGCCATGTGGTCACCTCCCAGCCGGGGTCAAAGTGGCCTCAGCCAGCTTCACAGTGCTGCGATTTAACCCATTGTACCACCAGGCAGGGCCTATAGTCCTCATTTTTTAGACGAAGGGATGAGGCACAGAAGAGCAAGTGACCTGTCCAGAGTCTCAGTAGCAATGGCAGTGTGGCCAGGAGCCCATTCCTGACCGCCAGGCTACAAGCCCTCAGTGTTTGCATCTTACGTGTGCTGTTCTCACATTTAATGCTCTTGAAGAATGGGGATTAATTAGAGCTTTGATGGGCAGGCCACTTCGAGTTTAAACTGTGTTGAGTGCAGTGGTGAGGGTCTCGGCTTCAGGCCGACACCCCGATGGTAGCGGCTGTGTGAGCTAAGCCAGGTCCTCCGAGACCTCATCTGTGTCACTTCTGGGGCTGCTGGGAGAAGGACATATGAGAGTGAGTTTGCCTGGGGAGAGGAGGCAAGGGTGGCGGTGCAGGGACCTGACGCAGCCTCTGTTCACGAGTTTTCTAAAACTCTCTAGAGATCAATACATAAGGCTGTCATGTGAGTGGGAGACTTCCCAAGGCCTGGGAAATCCTGAGCTCCCAGGAGGTTGGTCCTTATGCTGCAGACACGAGACTGTGTCAGTCTCCCTGTCCCCTGCATCCAAGGATAAGAATGTGGGGCTCCAGGGGGAAGCAGGCAGACCCTTGCCAGCACTCCCTGGCCGTCCAGCGTGATGCTCTTCACTTCCAGATAAATCAGGGCCGGTCCCAAATCACCCCTGTAGTAGCATCTCTCTCACTCACCCACAGCCCAGCCTAGTACATTTCTTTTTTTTTTTTTTAAGATGTATTTATTCATGCATACAGAACTGGGGTACAAGCCAGAGATGCAGGGGCAGTGAGAAGATTCACCAGAGATAAAGTGGGGAGCAGAACAGGCAGACCCACTTAGTACACTGTTGAGGGGAGCAGCGGGCAGGTCAGGAGAGGTCTGCCATGCCATGTGGGTCACCTCTGGGGCGGGGATCGAACCTATACTGAAGTGGCTTTAGCTTCTTAGTGCTGTGCTTTAACCAGCTGTGCCACCAGGGAGGGCCCCCAGTACATTACCTGCGTGGGAGGAAAAGGGGTTTTGTTTCAGCCAGTAAATGCCCTGCAGTACAGCCACGTGTGCACACGTGTGTCCAGGCGGCTTGGGCAGGGCCCATCCTGCAGAATGAAGACAGATTCGCAGCTGCGGTTGCTCCTTCTGAAGCTCAGGCTGCTGCGGGAACTCTTGGCCAGCTTTTCCTTACATACTCCAAGAGCATCACATTCCCCCACTGAACAGCTTCGGTGGAAAAATTCTAAGCTCAGAGATGTGCATCACAGTGTTCTTCATCATCAAATGCATAGATGACAACTACCTTACAGTAAATTCACCCCATAGAATAGTCATCAGGCATTAAAATGATTGTTGGGAAGCTTACACAACAGCCTAAAGAAATATTTACAAAGTGGCACTAAGTAAAAAATATTTCTTCTCCATAAACTGTTCAGTTTCATTGCAAATATATGACAAACTATGTTCATTTTGAAAATATTAGCTTCCTGTTTGCTATCTGTTAGTCCTCCTAGTTAGCGTTATAAAACATGTTACTTCCCTTAGACTCCCAGCAGCCGAGGAGGCAGTTGGCATTTGCTCCTTTTACAAAGGAGGAAACAGAGGGTCAGAGAGGTTCAGTGAGACCTCCCAGCCTGGAAGTCAGAGCCAAGACTTGATTTCCAGGCCTAGAACTGTCTCCACCACATCAGGCTGTGATCAAAATTAGAGGGTGTTACTGGTAATAAGGTTTTTCATTCAGACTTTCTTTTCTGTTGCCATTATTGGAAATTTGTAAAGAAAGGAAGTGTTAGAAGCTCATTTGCAGGTGAGAACCAGGGCCATGTTTATGGCACCCCGCATTAAATGCTTTGCTTTCTTTTCCAGGATGACATAGAAGCATACCGGACCCAGAACCGCTTTCTCAATTCTGAGATCCACCAGGTCACAAAGATCTGGAGAAAGGTGGCTGAGAAGGAGAAAGCCCTCCTGATGAAGGTGAGAGGCAGGAGCCCTTTCCTGGCCATCACCATTCTTGACTCCCATTCTCAGTCGCCCCATCTGTTTCCACATTAGCTATCTGAGGTTCCCCTGGACTGACCCTTCACTCAAGACCTGCATGAGTTTCTCCTCAGTCATCCAGTATGCTGCTGAAACTATAGGGTAGGGGTATGAAGACTAGTAAGTCCAGCTCCTACCCTCAAGGAGGGTGCAAGTGGGTTCTGGGAAGATGGTGGACCAGGAGCCTGTGTCCCCACCTAGACAACAAATGCACTGGTAGAATCTGTATAACGTGACTGTTTAGGAACTCTAGGGCCTCTTACTACTTCCAGAGGAAATTTGGAAGGTAAAATGGAGTTAATTTTAGTTCTTAGCACAATGGCATCTACCCATCACCCAGATGCTTCCCCATGGGAGGCAGCTGTGCCAATGTTCGGGAACGACGTATGTGCAGCTTCTCGGATATCGGTGACAGACTCAGGAAGCAGCCTGGCTCGTAGGGGGCAGTGTGGGAGGGAACCTGTTGGAGCAGGTAGGACAACAGGCTCGCGCGATTGCTTGGAGTTGCTGCTCAGCTACATTTGTTGATAGTGACCTGGCCAGGGGTACTGTAGAATGACACTCTTGGCCAGGAGGCTCCCACCCCGCCACCCCAGGATGAGGCATCCTCAGATTATGGCAATGCTGTAAGGTAGATTTTTGCTGTCCCTATCTTGCACAGAAGGGAAACAAGACCTAGAGAAGTTATCAGACTTGCCGAGCTCCGCCCAGCCGGTATAAGCCAAAACACCAAAGTTCCAGGCAAGGGGTGGGAGTAGGCAGACTGGGAGTGTGCAAGAAAGCCATGCTGTGGGGGGAGATATGATGTTGGAGGAACGGCAAGAACCCACATGGCAGCAGCAGAGGGCACACGGCCAGTGTCCAGAGATGCATGTCCCTTCTGGTCTTGATAGCCCCAGCATAGAGCCAGCTATGAGCCAAAAGCCTGGGAGTGGCTTTCTACTGCCAGCCATCTGACCCTCACCAGAATCCTGAGACCAACTCTTTGTTCCGATGAAGAAGCTGAGGTCCAGAGAGGTTAAGTAACTAGCCACAGGTCACCTGTGCGGCTGTGGCTGAACCATGAAGGAACTGCCAGCTGCAAAAAGTCGTGCTCCCCTGGCCCCCCTCTTCCCTCTTTCTCCTGAACCCAGGTCCAGCATGGGCCCAGAACTCCCCTAGAGCCCTTTCTGCCTCACTGCAAACCCTTAGGTTTGGGGCCCAGCTCATTTCCTTACCTGAAGGTCTGGAAAGGCTGAGGTGGGGGAAGGGCAGTGCTGTCTCGGCTGGTTCCAGCTTCAAGTGTGCCCAAGCACAGCCAGGCTGACATGCCGCCTCTCCCGCCCACAGTGTGCCTACCTCCAAGCCAAGAACTGCCAGGTGGAAAGCAAGTACCTGGCGGGACTGCGGAGGCTACAGGAGGCCGTGGGGGACGAGGCCAGTGAGTGCTCAGAGCTGCTGAAGCATCTGATCCAGGAGGCGCTGCAGTGGGAAGCCAGCGACGCCTCGGCAGACAATGTCCAGCTGAGCCCCATCAGGTGAGGCCAGCGGGGGCTGGGGTACGTGGGTCTGTACGACCTGGGTCCATCCCCACCTCGCCTGCTGCTGGCTACTGCTGACATGTGCCGAGTCTGCACGGCCCTCCCTCCCCTGGCTTCAGATGAGTGGGCACGTGCTTGAGATGAGCCCCATCTCACGGCCCAGGCAGAGTGGGTGCAGGAGGCAGCCGTGCCCAAGCCACGCAGCACTTAGTGCAGCTGGCACAGGACTCCTCCAGGGCTCTGTTCCCCCACTTTCCCGGGATGCCTTGCGGAGGTGTTATCCAGAGAGGAGTGTGGGGCACAAGCCAGCAGCCCCCTGAGCCGAGCCCTGCTAAGCGCAGTGGACATGGGCAGTCACAGAGGGTCTGTGACGAGGGTCAAAGGCCCCTTGAGGCTGCGTGGGGCAGTGTCAGGAGCTGAGGTGTTTGACCAGACTTCGCTCTCTTTCTGTGCGCCTTGGACAATTCACGTCACCTTAGGACCTCGTATTCAGCCTCCAGAAGATGCGGGCTGAGACCGCCTCCTCTTCAAGCTCATTATGATTAAATGATGTAGCGCACAGAGGGCGCAGGATAAGGACAGAGCCATGTTGAAAAAATGAAAGGCCCTTGGGAATAGGTTCCCAGTTCTCCCCTCTCCGCTTGTCACTAATTCTGTCTGTTCCCCATCCATCCTTGGGCTTCCTGGCTGGGGAAACGGGGCCCTGTGTGGGCAGCTTTGGAAGGACCTAAGGCTGCACGGGAGTAATAGGGGCCACCTGCACTTGCTTAGAATGAGTAAGTCTCTCTCCAGCACCAGATGCCACTGAGGCCCCATGTGGCCTACAGCAGAGAATACCCCGGGTCTGCAGAGTCCTGTGTCCATTGCACAGATGAGCAAACTGAGACTGGGAAAGGTGAAGTGGCCTGCCCAGAGATGCTTTAGTAACTCACAGTAGAGGCAGGAACCTTGCCACCCGCTGCTGCTTCTAGGGAAGGGCCTGGGGGCGGCATCGCTAACGCAGACTTCTGCCAGCAGCGAGTATGACGAGTATGGCTTCCTGACGGTGCCCAACTATGAGGTGGAAGACCTGAGGCTGCTGGCCAAGATCCAGGCACTGGAGGTGCACTCCCACCACCTGCTGGCCCACGAGGCTGTGGAGCGGCCACTGCGGGAGCGCTGGGCTGCCCTGGGTGAGCTGACACGCTCGACGGAGCTCAAGCAGCTGCTGCGGGCCGGGGTGCCCCGGGAGCACAGGCCCCGTGTCTGGAAGTGGCTGGTCCACCTCCGAGTCCACCACCTGTATTCTCCTGGCCGATACAAGGAGCTGCTGAGCCGGGGCCAGGCCCGCAAGCACCCCGCTGCCCGCCAGATCGAGCTGGACCTGAACCGAACCTTCCCCAACAACAAGCACTTCACCTGTCCCGCCTCCGCCTTCCCCGACAAGCTCCGCCGGGTGCTGCTGGCCTTCTCCTGGCAGAACCCCGCCATTGGTTACTGCCAAGGCCTGAACAGGTGAGACACTGTAGCCCAAGGGCACAGCCTGTAACTTTCAGAGCACCCCCTCAAGAACGGGAGAGGGGTGTCCAGGAGGCTTGATCCCCGCTGCTCAGATGAGAAGCTGGGGAAAGGACATATTTGAGATAGGTAGGTCAGGGCCCAGGTCTCCCCAGCCCATGCACTCGCCCTCCACTTGTGCGGAGGGAGAATTGCTACTTGTGTAGAAAAGAAAGCATCCCAAAGAGCTGTACACACCCCTGTCTGGTTCAGGGGTCACTTGCTTGCATTGAAACCCACTCAGATGAGCCCAAGAAAGGAATCTGTAAATATCTCAAGGAAGCTCACAAAAGCCAGGAAAAGGACACAGGGCTAGGGGCCAGATGGCCAGTGGAGACTGGGGCGCATGCAACCTGCAGGGGGCACCATTCACTGCCCCCATTCCTCGGAATGCTGCACCCTGACATTGCCTAGCGCCAGGTGCTGCTCTGCAGCCCTTTGGGGGGCTGTGTGTTCCCTGGTCTCTCACTCTGCGAATCTGCATCCTCTTTGAGCGCACCCGCTCTCATTATTGGGCCATTGACATGGTCAGGATGGAGACCCTGTCTTGTACCTTTTGGTCTTCCTTTCTTGTTAATACTCTCCCAACCCAAGCCTAAATTTCCTTGGAAGAAATCAGCCCATCCTGGATTAATTCTGCTCCCAACAGTGAGAGACAAAGGATCAGGGATAGAGGGGGGTGGGGTTACCTGGAGGGCCCCCCTTCGGGACTGTGGGGGACTCTCATGGATGCCCCCAGTTATCTCAAGACAGGTTGCGTGATCACAATATTTCCCAAAGCAAGTTTTGACTCAATTTAAACATATATGTGCTCAAGGAAAATTGGCGTAAACCCCTCTGCTTTGTTTTTAGAAAAGGCAGCATGTTACATTGACTTAACACAGAATAAACATTCAGAGTATCCCTACCCAAACCTGAATGACTCCCAAAGGTGGATATTTTTGATACTTTAATTCCAGCCTACATAGGAGGAAATAGTAAAGTTACTGGAAACTCTGGGTTAAACACCCCAGAGTAATGCCTGTCAGTCGAAGCATATTGTAAAACATATTCAGAGTTCATGCTACTCTGCTGTGGGAGCATCTGTGCAAATCCAGCCAGCCAGGCAGCCAGCCATAGCCTAGCAGGAAGCCTGTACAGTCCTCATCTGTTTGGACATGCTAAAAATCTAGAAGGGACAAAACTTTCACAAAACCTTCAAGAATAGCTTTGAAGGGAGCTGGAAGCTATTCTAGTAATATGAGGAATAATTCTGTATCTCACACAAAGGGCAGGTAGGTTCTAAGACTCGATGAGGTCCCCCGGATGCCAGGTGCTTTACGTACTTGACATCATCTAACCTTCAGAAAAACCCTGTGAAGAAGGTATCGTGCCCTCCCTCACCCATGTGAGACAAGAGGGGGTGTGAGAGGCGAAGGAACCTACCCAGTGCCACGCCACGCATGGTGGCGGACCACGCACGGACACCCACACTGGGCCGCCCACCACGTCGGGTCTCCTACCATGTGCCCTCACTCATAGCAGGTGCTGTGGCAGACAGTGAGTGTTCCTGATCAGATTAAGGAATGCAGTTAGTCGTGCCTGGGTTTGGGAGTCTGGTCTGTGCCGAAAGGGCAGGGCTAATTCCTCTAGCAGGAGGGGTCCTGACATAAGCCTCTTAGAAGGAAAAAGCTTCGCCTGAGTGGAAAGAGACAGCACAGGCCACAGAGGCCTGTGGGAAACTACTGAGGCTAGAAATAGTCATTTCTTTTTTTTTTTTAAATGATGGATTTTTATTTATGTGTACAGAACTGGGGTACAGGCCAGAGGTACAGGGGTGGTGAGAGGATTCACCAGAGACAGAGTGGGGAGCAGAACAGGCAGATGGACTGAAATACACCGCTGAGGGGAGCAGCAGGCAGGTCAGGAGAGGGTGGTCACCTCTCTGGCCCGGATGGAACTCACGCTGCAGTGGCTGTGCTGGCTTCATAGGGCTGCACTATGCCCTTTCCCCCATTGTGCCACCAGGGAGGGCCCCCAACAGTCATTTCTTTAACTCTTTTTCTGGCTGGATGCTATGTTTACCCAGAACATTTCAAATATGTTCTTATTATTACTTTAAATAGAAAGTTTTTGTACTAAAAAGAGCCTGTTCAAATGTGGAAAGTGTGATGCACACTCTCAAGGCCCTCAAACCCTGCAAGCCCCTGTCAGTTGTCTGAGTGCAGCCATCTAGGGGCAGCCTCTAGAACTGCGCCGTGGTGTCTGAAGAGCGCAGACCCTCCTTCTAGGCAACAGATTTCAAGAGGGTAACAGACATCTTAGTGCCAATTAAAGCAGAAAATAATTGAAAGTGATTTCCCTTTAATGTAAAGTTGGAGTACTTTGAAAGTATTCTGTCCTTTCCCTTTCACTGTACTCCCTCATTTACAGACCTACGTGGGCTGTGTGCCTTGAACATGAGTCTGGCCACAGTCCTGAGAAGTTGTCAGCGGCAGAGTCTCATCACTGACATTTTAGTGTGGGTAGAAATCTTAAGCTCATGCTGGAAGCCAGCTCCTGACCTGATCACATCTTAGACTCCAATGGGATGGGGTGAGAACAGCAGGCTGTATTTGGTTGGGAGTCTAGCCATCCCTATTCCTAGTTCCACTCTTTCAAGTGACTTTGAGAAAGTCATTGTGTTTTCTGGGTCCCTGTCTTCCCATCTCTACAATAAGGGATCACCAGTAGAAAGGAGTTGCCAAGAACCTTGTGAGAGTTTCTGAAGCAGCTCCAGACACAGTGAGAAAGAGTACTATGATCAATTGGTTATGTCTACCCTGGACATAAGTGAAGGGAATGTTGTCAATCAATTAGTTATGTCTGCTCGGGCACAGACAGAGAAGTAGCCAAAGTATTGTACATTTGCTACTCCTGAACTAGATCCCTGAAATTCCCCCACCCCCAGTCCAGCACTGATAGGGCAGAACTTCCTGTTTCCCAGATCTATGACTATTTTCCTCTCCATCCACTCAACTCAGGCTCCGGAGGACTTGTACAAATCTACTGGGGAGGGAGAAAGGGATTCTTATTGCTTTTGAGAACCAACACTGTTTTCTTTAAAACAGTGGGACCCTCAGAAGAAAACAGAGGTGATGAATCCAATCTAATAATAGCCCAGAGAAGCCTAAATATCTGGATAATGAAATGTACTTTAAATGCCTATTGAGAATCGGAGGTTTCACGATACTGTAACACAGCATCTCCTGAGGGGTATTCAGTGGATGCACTGTGCTTAAGGCAGGGCCCCCTGGGACAGCCCTGGGTTATGGAGGCACATGGGGCTTTGTCAGTGTAGGATTTCTCAGAGGCTTTGTTAAGATCATCTGTATCAAAGAGAGAGAGAGAAAGAAAAGAAAAGATCAACTGTATCAGAGCCTCTAAAAGAGGACCGCATAGGCATCATTTCCCAATTATCTTTAGATATGGGGAAATGCTAGCACCAGCACCTTGTAGGAGAAACCAGTAGGACCTGGCTGAGCCTGTCCAGAAAGATGAGAAAACTGTATCCGAGGCAGACATCCCACATCCCTAGTCAGCACTGTGGGTGTTGTGTGTGTGGTGGGGGGCAATGTTCTTTCTCACCCACGGTCTCAGTAGAACCTTATGACAATTTTGGGGGAGAGGGGAAGTCAAGTAGAAAAAGAACTCTGTATATTGAGCACCTCACTCTGCCAGTGGGCAAAGCTCTGTAGGCCAGTCCCTTTTTTCAAACTGCTCGCCCAGCCCTGGAAGGTAGATATTGGTGATCCTACTTGGTCAGGTCTCAAAGACTGAGGATAACTATGTGCGGGACATTTAATATGTGAGCTTGGCTCATTCTCGCAACAGTTCTGTGATTATCCTGAGGAAGCAGAGGCTCAGAGAGGTAAAGTAGCTTGCCCAAGGTTACCCAGCTAGGAAGCTACAGGAACAGGATTCACTTGCAGGCAGCCGGACTCAGGAGCCTCTGCTTTAAAATGATCCTCACTGCGCTAGAAACCCCCTATGTTTTCCTCCCCAGAGGCAGGTTCATTTCCCCCCAGGTGCCAGGAGTATCAGCCTGATTAGGGAGTCAGGCTGGACAGGACCCCCCAGGACAAGGAGCCACTCCACCACAGGCTGCCTCTCACGACTCCTGTGAGTCACTCCAAGCCGACTCCTGTGAGTCACTCAAAGCCTCCTCCTGTTCCTCCCCAGGCTGGCGGCCATCTCTCTGCTGGTCCTGGATGAGGAGGAAAGTGCCTTCTGGTGCCTGGTGGCCATTGTTGAGACCATCATGCCAGCGGACTACTACAGCAAGACACTGACGGCATCCCAGGTAAGTAGGGCAAGGAGGGACCTTAGCCTTCATGCAGGTCATTCCTCTTGAATTGTTATACATGCCCAATAATAGCGGAAGTCAAGGACGTCCCGGGCCCCCACTTCTTCCTCTGTACAACAGTCACACCTGATATTAACCCAAGCTCCTTGAGGTTCAGTGAACCAAGGGGCCAAAACTTGACTGGCCTCCACTGGCAAGAACTAAACAGCCACCGGCTCTGAGTCGAAGCCTGAGGTGCCGGCACCAAGGACTGCCTGCCCATGCAGGAGTCAGCAAGTGCTGCCCACTGTACCTGTGCCCAGCCAGGCAGGGCTCTGGCTCCTCACAGTGCCGTGTGCCCCCAGGCAGGGCGGGACCTACTCGGGCTGCTGTAGAGCTGTGTGGACCGGCCCGGCAGGAAGCGTTTGGCAAGGAGGGAGCCAGCCCTTACAATGAGTGGCACCCGATGGGCCCTGTGACCCGCTTGCAGGTGGACCAGCGGGTGCTCCAGGATCTCCTCTCAGAAAAGCTGCCCAGGCTGATGGCCCACCTGGCCCAGCACCGTGTGGACCTCTCCTTCATCACCTTCAACTGGTTCCTTGTGGTCTTCGCAGACAGCCTCATCAGCAACATCCTCCTCCGGGTCTGGGATGCCTTCCTGTATGAGGGCACCAAGGTAGGGGATATGGGGCTGAACAGCAGGCCCTGGTTCTCCCTTCTGCCCCTAGAGAATGGGGAGACCAAGCTCACCTCTCTTGGATGTTGAGGACATCCAAGAACGTGGCTTTGCGAACTAAAGCACTTTACCTCTGCCTCTGAAGACGCAACCTGAAGTTGGAGGGAGGTCCTTCCCCTGGACGGGAAACATGAGGCGGATCCGGAGGCCCCACCAGCCACCCCGGCTCTTCCTGCTCTTGCTCCTGTCTGAACTAAGGAGGCTGGCTGGCACTTGGGTCTGGTCCCAGCTCTGCTCCTGACCTTGCTAGGAGGCTCTGGGAGGGGCTCCTTCTCCACCTCCGCCCTGGTTTCCACATGATGATCTGCTACACCTCACAGTTTACAAAATACCTCAGATCCATCATCATATCTGATTGCTGCTGACACCTCATGTAAAGAGAGTCTTGACACTCATTAGGTGCAACAGGGACAGCGCCTCCCCCAGGGTCCTGGGACAAGTCAACAGAGCCAGCACTTGGGGCTATGCTCCCCCTGGGGGTTTCCGGTCACCCCCATAGGCCTGCCTCCACACATTGCCTCCAACCTCTGCAGCCAGTCCCAGGACTCCTGCAGTCTGGCTGTCTGGGTTCTCCCTTTGGGCATTACCTGCCCTGACCCCCCAGGCTACAGCTGAGCCCCCCTCCCTGCACTGTACCCCCAGGTGGTGTTCCGCTATGCCTTGGCCATTTTCAAGTACAATGAGGAGGAGATACTGAGGCTGCAGGACAACCTGGAGATCTACCAGTACATGCGCTTCTTCACCAAGACCATTTGCAACAGCAGGTGAGAATACACGCACACCCTAGCTCGACCCCCTCAACCACCAACTCCATACGCCCTTAGCCTCATAGAGACTCACTACCAAGTGGAAATTCATGATATTGAGCCTCCAGTATAGATTAAAAATCTTTAGGAACATACCTCCTCTCCCACCTCAGTGATGTGTCTCCCTGACACCACATTCAAGGCCTCTATGCAGTTTCATTTCTTGCCTACCTTTTCTTGCACATAGTACCTATGCCCTATGATCTTGCCAAACGGTTCTTTGAATTCCTAAGACACTACTGGACATTTGGTCTGGCGATTTATTCTATTTTGAATGCCTGCTTGCTGCCTTCTCCATCACCACCATCTTGTCCAATTTCTCATTGTTCAAAATTCAGCTTATGTGTGGCCTCCTCCGGGAAGCCTTCCCTGACCAGCCTTTCCTTACTGAATTAGAGCTCCCATAGCCCTTAGTTTCCGCCTGCCTCATATCACTTGGGGTAGAAGTTATCTTATTCTCCTGGAAAGTGAGTCCCCTGAAGGCAGCAGGCTCCTCAGACACACAGGTATAAGGAACACAGGGGTGCCCAGTAAGACCCAGTGAACACAGGTTGAAGGGGTACTGATTATGCTTTCTCCCCAGGAAACTGATGAGCATCGCCTTCAACGACATGAACCCTTTTCCCATGAAACAGCTGCAGCAGCTGCGGAACACCCACCGGGAGAGGCTGGAGGCTGAGCTGCGGGAGCTGGAGCAGTTCAAGGCGGAGTACTTGGAAACTAAGGCATCCCGTGGCCAAGCTGTGCCTGAGGGCTACACCAGCGAGGATGAGGGGGAGGTCTGACTTGGCCACCTGCCTTCCCCACAACCCCTTCTCACCCCTAGCAAACAGGCGTCCCTGTGCCCTGGGCCAGTACCCTTTCTTCTCTGGGCCTCTGCTCCCCATGGAGTGTTGTCTGCCCTGAAGCCACTGTTGGGTTAACTCATCCAGGAAGCTTTCACTTCCTCCACAGAGCACTTTAGCACACAGACAAGAGTGCTGTCTTTTTAGGGTGACTTGAACATTTTCTAAGTTTTAGCTGTATAAACTGTAAATATTAATATATTTGCGAGTACTTCACAAGCTTGGGAATGTTGATGACTCCCTGACTGTCCCTGGGTGGGCCAGGGTGTCCCGCCTCTAGCAGCTTCCGGCCTCAGGCATCTCTGCTGTTGCTGTGTGTGTCTCTGCACTCAGGGCCTGTCTCTGGCATCGCTGCCTCAATGCTGCTGCGTCTGAGTTCAGGCACAGCTCCCATCCCTGCCGGCCTTGCGTCTGGGGTGTTCCCAGGGGAAAGTCTCCCCACCACCAAGCGGAACTTAGTGTGGGGCTTGCACAGGGCCTTGGGGCTCTTCACCTCTTCACTTCACAGGCCGGGGCAGGAGAGCCGCCTCTTCTCTGACATGGGTCTGTGGGAGGGTGGGGAAAGGGCAGTGATGGACTCACCAGCAACCTGTTGCTGAGTTGGGGGGGGGGGTGTTCTACCCACTGTCTTCAAGAGCTTGGCTTCAGTTCTGGGCCCTTCCAGGACCTTCCTCAGCCAGCACGCTCCCCCTATTCCACCTCAAAGTAGCCTTTCTCTGGTTTGCTGACCTTTTTTCACTTGCTCAGTATCCATGAGGGGGGTTGTTTTGAGGGTGGCCTGGGGTCCTGGGTTGTACCCCAACAGGCAGCCTGCTGTAACCCTAAGGGCAGACAAGGAGACAAGTGGCCCAGCCTCAGAGAGTTCCCAGCAGGGTTTCAGGAGATACTGGAGGCACAGTGGGAGGCCAACCACTGCAGTGACTCTTTACCAAGAAAACAATAACCAGCAGGGCATGAGGCCTTAAAAAGGCGCAAGACTCCAGGAGAGAATATGTGCAACTGGTCCTTCAGGTTTCAACCTGGAAGGTCAAATCTCCTCAGCAAAAAATAAAGAACTCAGATCAGACAGAGGGCATAGAGGGGGGCTGCCAAGAAAGTGGTGCCTCCTCTCCCTTCCCCCCTTTCTCTGCCTCTCCCACCTCCTCCCTTCTCCTTCCCCTTCATTCCCTCCTCCTCCTGCCCCATTCTCTCCCTCTCACCCTTTCACTTCTCCCCTCTCCTCAGCCTTCCTCCCACCCCTTACCCCCTCCCCAGCACTGTGAAACTTCTGGTTCCCGCCTGGCTGCACCACAGAGTTGCCTCAGTAGCTTTAGAAAAAAATCCGGTGCTGGTCCCCAGGCTCCAAGTCTATTGTGGGGAGTGGGTATTATACTCTGAGAGGACCTGCGCCCACAGCAAAGCAAGGAATTCTTAGGGGGGACCCTTCTAACCCAATGCGAGGAGCCAGAGCCAGAAATGGAAAATGCGTGACCTACAGCATCCACTCACTCCAGGCCAAGTTTACAGAAAGGTTGATGAGTTTGTCCAAACCTAGAGGTGATATCAGCTCAAACCTAGAGGCCCTACCAAACTAGGAGGGTGCCTCCAGCACACCTCACCTCCTTTAGAGCAGAACATCTCCTCCAAGGGCCCAGGGCAAAGGGGCAAGCCTGGTGGATGGTCTCCTGAGTGGCCCAGGGCCTGTGGGGATAGTTCCTGGCAAAGGAAAAGGGAGAGGCAGTAGCTGGAGCTTGGGGGGTGGGGGGGAGGCTGTCACACCCCAGAAGGTCTGGGGCTTCTGCTGCTATTCCTAGGAGCCACCTACCCTCCCCCTGCTCTTCCTGAAGGGCCTTCGGGGGCCCACCCCTGGTATCAGTTTCCTGGCCCTGCACCACAGCTGTCACCCCATCCCCAGGGGCCGCTGCCTTGCAGAGCTGGAGGATCTGATCCCTCACAGCCCCACGTCCTACCCAGGGGATGGGACCTCAAAGCACCCCCTCAGACCCTCAGCCCCCAGCAAGCCTGGCTCACACTCTGTTCCACAGAGGAGGGGGAAAGTTACCCAGGGAATCTCTCCACAGCAATATCTCCCAGAATAAAGGGACCCCCACACACACCCCAGAGGGGGGTGTGCACACACTTCTCCTGAAGCCCTGTTTAGGGGCTACTCTCCCCCTGCTCAGAACCTCCCTCCCAGTCGCTGCTGTCCCTTCATCAGCACAATCTCCCATGTGCCAGGGCCACAGAACACAGGCAGGGAGCTGTAGAACCTGCCGCCCTTTCACTTCTGGCCCCACACCAGGCATTCATTAAACAAAGCTGGCCATGTGAACACCAGGACAGGAGGGGGTGGTCATTTCCTGGCCCACCCCCATCAGCAATACGACCCAGAGAAGGTACCCCAGACGGACACGACGTATTCTGTGGTTTTGCAGCTAGGGACCACAGGCAGATCATCCCCACTTTTCCCCCATGTGCACAAGGCAGAGGGTGTCAGGGGTAGCCCCTCAAATAGGCCAAGGGGAGGGGAGGGGCAGGAGTGTGAGAAGATACACAGCATCCCGGGAAAGGTCCTAGCTGAGATGCAGAGGTCTACAGTGCCTCCCCCTGGCCTGCCGGTCCCTACGCCCACAGCCCCCACTGAGGTCTCCATCCAACCTGCTTTTCCTCAACACAGCCCCAGCCACTTACCAGGGAAGACAGGCACAGGGTGGCAAGAGGCAGATCTGAAGCAAGGGGGGCACACCCACAGGATGTCTCAAAAGCCTCCCTGGGGAGGAACCTTGGTGCTGGCCTAGAAGGCTGGATGAGTCCAGTAGACAGGGGGAGCCGATGATGTGGGAAGAGAGCTCCTCATGGCGGGGCGGCATGAGCAGAGGAGTGAGTACAAGGGGCACTCTGGATGCCTGACCAAGCCCTGCGTGAATTATGGCACCTAGACACCTCAGCCTTAGAAAGGTGATAGTGCCCATGTCCAGGTGAGCCACAGGCAACGTGAACCACAATTATACAAACTCCCACCACTACACAAACTCCCACCACATCCTGGTTTTTCCATATGCTTTGTTTTGAGACATCAGATAGCCAGCCCTTCAAAGAAATACCAATAGCATGCACTCAGCGGGCTGCTGATCCGTCCAGCCCCAGGAGGCCACGGTCAGGCCCAGAGGCTCTGAGAGAGCCATCTTGTGGGGCTGGGTAACGAGCTCATCCAGCTCTGGGCCGGAGCAAGGTCCTCTGAACAGTGACCACCGTGTGGCAGGCTCTGGCCTGGAGGCTCTAGGAAGATACTCAAGCGCCCCTAAGTACTTAGAGCACTTAGCCACTCAAGCCTCTGTTTCTTTTCTGTAAAATGGGTCTTTAATAGTGCCCATTAGGATTATTAGGGTGGTGTGAAATAGATGTGAGGACAAGGTATGCTCTGGAACTCAATAATGAGAGGGAGGCACTGTTCCAGGCACTCAAGGTAGATCACTGCACAAAAGCTCTTCTTAAAAGACGTGGTGAGTGGCGTGGCTGTGACCTCAGACTGGGGTGGAATTACTGTGGGTCTTCAGCGAGTCACTTAACCGCTCTGTGTTGCCTTCTGCATAAAACAGATGAGTAAAGTGTAACCTCATAGGTTGTGTGACAGTAAAGTGAGGTAATGCATTTAAAGAGCCTAGAACAGTGCCTGGCTCAGTGTGAGGTGGCAGTAGTAAGCCCCCGGCGCCCAGCCCTAGTGAGCCCCCTCGGGACCCCAAAGCCAGACACTGACAGCAGCGCCCCCTTCTGGCTGCCGCGGGAAGGAAGCGCCTCTCCGAGCTGCGCGGGCGGCGCTCCCGGCTCAGAAGCCGCGGGCGGACTGGGACGCCCCCTTAGCAATTACTCCACCAGCCCAGCTTCACCGCGCGCTTCCCGGCCGGTAAATGAAATCGTCTATTTCTCAAACAGCTCTCTGGGACAGTCAGTCACTGCTTCCATCTCACCAAGAGACAAACAGGTTCCGGGAGGTCGAGTCCCTCGTCCCAAGCCATGCGGAGAGGGAGCGGCCGGGCGAGGAGCCAGGAGCTGACTGTCCCCACCTTCAGCTCGGCAGCCGAACAGCCCATCCCAGTCACTGCGTCGTGGGCGCTCCGGTGCGCGCGCCCATCCCG